CCTTGTCTGATACTGAAATGTATATGATCATATCCAATCGAGAATCGGGCTTGGCGAGCAACGGTGGTGCTGCGAGTGTTGCCTTGAAGTTTTGGAAGGACGCTTCACATTCATCCGTCCACTGGAATTTTCTGGCCTTCTTTAGTAGAGTCATTATGGGTCTCAATTTTTCGGCCATACACGGAAGAAAACGGGCTAACGATGCTATGCGCCCTACCAGTCGGTGTACCTCCTTTACGTTGCGAGGGCTTCTCATATTGATGATAGCCTGGCACTTGTCGGGGTTGGCTTCTATGCCTCTCTCTGATAGCATGAAACCTAGGAATTTTTCGCCAGTGACTCCGAAGGTGCACTTTGCCGGGTTTAGTCGCATGTGGTGCCGTCTCACTTCCTCGAAAATGGCTACAAGGTCTTGCAAATGATTGTACGCGGAGGCCGACTTGATTACCATGTCATCGACATATACCTCCATACACGTTCCAATCTGGCGCTGGAAAATCTTATCCATGAGTCTTTGATAAGTCGCCCCCGCATTTCTCAGTCCGAACGGCATCACCTTGTAGCAGAAATTGGCTGAATCTGTGATGAATGCAGTTTTTGCCTCATCCGGGGGGTACATGGGTATCTGATTATACCCAGAATAAGCGTCCAGAAAACTTAGCCTTTGCTGCCCTGCAGCCCCATCGACCAAAGTATCGATGTGGGGAAGAGGGTAGGCATCTTTGGGGCATGCTTTGTTAAGATCTGTGTAATCTGTGCACATCCGCCATTTTCCATTTGACTTCTTCACCATCACCACATTGGCCAACCAAGTGGAGTATTTGACTTCCCTTATGAAGCCTGCTTTGAACAGCTTAGCGGTTTCTTCCTTTACTGCGTCGGCCCTTTCTCCACCCATTTTCCTTTTCTTCTGGGCAACAGGTTTAGCATCTCGGCATACTGAAAGGTGATGACAATGGAAAATCGGGTCGATCCCCGGCATGTCAGCGGCCGTCCAAGCAAATAGCTCGGAATACCTTCGTAGGATCTGCTTGATGTCTTTGGCTTCTGTTTCGGATAGTTGAGAACTCAGAAACGTAACCTGCTCTTCTGTCCCCCCGAGCCGAAAAGGAATCGTTGTTTCAATCGGTTCAACCCTGCCTTCGTCTGTTATTCTAGGGTCCAACTCCAAATCATCAACTAGGGTGCGTTGGCTAGTGTCTCCGATGACATTAACGTCTCGGGTAGATCTCGACGTCGGTTAAACTCTCAAACTGGCAAAGTAGCATTCTCGTGCCGTCTTCTGATCCGCGTGGAGGGTGAAAATCGTTCCCTCCTCCGAGGGGAACTTCATGGCTAAGTGAGGTGTGGAAACGATGGCTCGAAGTTTATTCAAAGATGGCCGGCCTAATAAGATGTTGTAAGAAGTGTTGGTGTGTACAACCACATATCGAATTTTGATTCTTCGCCTATGCTGGTCGTCGCCAAAGTAGGTGTACAGATCGATTGTTCCCTTGGTGTCCACCCGCTCTCCGGAAAATCCGACCAAGGGTTCATCGTAGGGTGTTAACTCTTGTTCGGGAATGCCGAGCTGTTCGAAAGTCTTCCAATATAAGATATCTGCCGAGCTTCCTTGATCGACAAGCGTCTTCTTTACCACGCAGTTGTTGATCTCAACACTGATGACCATTGGGTCATCCTGTACCGGGTCTACTCCTTTGAAGTCTCGATCGGTAAATGTGATAGGAGGCATATGAATGGTTGCCCTCCCTACGACATTTACTGACTTGATTGCTCTTAAGTGCCTCCTACGGGCTGAGGATGTGCTTCCCCCTCCCGCAAATCCTCTGGCGATTGTATTTATCACCCTCCGGGGTTGGTTTCGTCCAGGTTGTTGGTCGTTTCTTTCAGGAGTTCTACTTCTCTCCCTTGATCGATGCCTGGGGGGTGCCCTTTCACGGTTTCCTCTCCTTTCCTGAGAATTGTCATATCTCCTCCTTCCTGACGGTTGAGTGAAGTCCTGGAGATGGCCAGACTTGACAAGATCCTCAATGCGGTCTCGGAGAGCGGTGCATTCCTCGGTGGTGTGCCCTCTGTTCCTGTGGAACTGACATGCCTTGGTTTTATCTGCGCGGGGCGGAGTCATAGCTCGACGGGGAACCGCTAGTATTTCAGTGGTTAACGCCTGCTCCAACACCTTGGTCCTACTGGCATTGAGCGGTGTATACTGCGTGTATCGGGGCCCCCTGTTGGCTCTTTCCCTGTGGGCATGTCCCTCGGGCGAGTTGTGTTCTTTTTTGGCTTCTTTCTTTCCTGGGAAGGGGTCGGACCGGTTCTGGTTCCGGAACTCGGCCAATTCTTCCATTTGCATGTACTTTGTGGCTCTTTGTCGAAGCTCGTCCAAGTTTCCAGGCGACTTCTTGCATAAACTGTTCACGAAAGGGCCTGGCCGCAGCGCTGTGGTGAGATGGTGCATGGCCACTGCGGGGTCTAGATTTCGAATGGGCAAGGTCATCCTCCCAAACCTTTCCATAAATGCCCTGAGAGGCTCCTTCTTCTCTTGGCGGATATTAACCAGCGCGATTGAGGTGAGTTGGTGCGGACGGCTGGTGGCGAACTGTATCGCGAAACGGGATGACAAAGTGGTGAATGAATCGATCGATCCTGGCGGGAGCCTTGTGAACTAGTTAAGCGCCGGTCCTTTCAGTGAGGTAGGGAAGACCTTGCACATAACGACATCGTCGTCCGTATACAGACCGACCTGGGTAACGAACGCGTCGACATGTTCTTCAGGGTCAGCGGTTCCATCATATTTCTCCAAGGTCAAGTTCTTCCAATTGTCTGGTAATCGTGCTCCGGCAATGTCTGGGGCAAAAGGAGACCTTCCCTGTCGTCGCTGCTGATCGAGAGAAGTGGTTGTCGCTCCTGCTGCGGGCTTAGGGCCTGTAGGCTCCTTGTACCATCCGGACGACTCTCCTTGATCCCGTGTTGATTGAGTGTTAAGGATATCGTGGGACGGGCGCCATGATCGATTGTCGCTTCTGAGCTCAGCGTTCTCTTTCCTCAAAACTGATAATTCATGGGCATCTTTCTCTCGAAGTCTTCTAAGTTCCATCATTTCGGCCTTTAGTTGCTCTATTGCCGACGATGGGTTGGGCTGTTGGGACCGCACCACGTATGACTCCTCCATTCCATCCTCGTTTTGGTTAGTCTGTCGCCCCGGGTTGTCTCTGGGCATCCCGTAGGGGCACTCGGCTGCGGCGTTATCTTGCTGACTCCTCGTTAACACCATCTTGCTTCGGGGTCGAGAACCGTTTTGGTTTCGGCCCCACGGTGGGCGCCAAAATGTTCTTGCGTAGAAACACTCCTCTTGTTGTTCTTCCTTCTTAGTCTTCTAAGTCTTCGGTGCCGACCGAATACTGTCTCCACGGGGTGGGGAGGGTACCTGCAAAGGCACTCCAACGATCAAGTAAGTATTCGGTATAGAGCAATAAATGCCTTTTTGTTGAATAGTAACGTACCTCATTTATGTCACATCACCTGTGTATTTATAATGACATGTGTGGGCCCGGTGGGCCTTCATTCTTGGGAGATGGGTAATATGTAATTATCCTTCATCATTCTTAATTAAGGGTAGCAACTATTGTATAACAAGTAATTATTGTCAAACCTGCACTCTTTGTTGGAGTTCTCGGCCAGGCGTGTGGCCGAAAGGGTGTTCGGCCTGCCTTGAGGCCGAGGGGGTGTTCGGCCTGGGTTAGTGCCGAGAAGGTGCATTTTAACGCCAAACGGATATTTGTCCTGTCCTTGATGGTGGAGGTACCGACCTATCCCAAGGCCGAGGGGGTGTTCGACCTGGGTTAGTGCCGAGGGGGTGTTCGGCCTGCCTTGAGGCCGAGGAGATGTTCGGCCTGCCTTGAGGCCGAAGAGGCGTTCGGCCTGTCCCGAAGCCGAAGGGGTAATGTCCTGTTTTGGTGGATATCTTGGCCTACGACCTGGCCGAGGAGGTGAGGTGTCTACTAGTACAAGGACTAAATTAAAAAAAAATATAAAAATAAAAAACTTAATTATATTTTTTTAGTTATGGGCTTAATTAAAAATTCTTAAAACATTTAAAGACCAAATGATATATTATACCTAAAAATTATTAATAATAGAGAAATAGAGGCTTATAAAAGTAGTATAAGGACAAAATAATATAAAACAATTGTATATACAATAATACTGTATCATATTTATAGATAAATTCGCATATAAAAGGTTAATAATTGGAGGATGGTCAGTTGTTAAGTAATTGTAATTAAATGATAGTTTTTGAACAGTTTTAAAAAGTAAAAAAAAAATTATTAGATAATCGAAAAATTCAAAAGAACTACAAGAAGTGGTGATTGAACAGTTGGAAAAAGTCCAGGTACGTTTAAGAAAAGTTGATCGATTTTGAGTGAATAATTATTCCGAGATCGAACGGGAAAATTAAATTAAGTTAATTTAATTTATACAACTTTAGAACAATTAAAAAAATAAAAAAAAAACTATTTATTTTGAACAATAAAAAGTGATTAATCACGTACATTAAAAAAAAAAATTACAACCTCCTTTATTGTTAATATAAATATAAATATAAATATAGAAGAAAAGTGTTATCAACATTCAACACCCTCTAATACTATACCCAACACTCTCTTTCCATGAGCTAAAATTTATGAAAAAGTTATAAATTTTTAAAAATTTTATGACTTCGTATTTAACCAACGACTCTCTCAATTAATCTAATGACAGGAACCACACTAGCATCAGTAATTTTCAATGAATACTATATGAATATTAGAGTGATACGTCAAAGTGTATAAAAATAAAAAAATCACGTTGAACATTGCAAAATTTTCCTAATTTAATTAATTAATTAATTAATTCATTGAGGTTGGAGTTGAGTTGAGCACGTTGTGACATATGGAAATTGCTAGAAAAGAAGCTACATATGCGCTGGGAGTGTAAAGAACAAAGATTGTGGGCTTCTTTTTTATTTATTATTGTTCCCACGCTCACAGCGTAGAAATAGAATCAGCCGCAGACAATCGCAGCTCCTCCGTCTCCGTTAAAAGACGGCGAGAATTCCAGGAAGAAAGAAGGCAAACAGCCGCCGTTAGCGCGTAGTAGCAGAAGCGGCCGTTGCACGCCACTGCTACGCTTTTGATAACGACGTGCCTCTCTCTTTGTTCCCTCGTTTGTTCCTACGTTCTCTTCTCTCTCTATATGTTTGGTTCCGTACGGATTTCGCTGCTCCGAGGAAGAGGATTTCGATCTCACGTAGAAAGCGATACCCCTTTTGCTCTTTTTCCCCTCCCTCTCTCCCTCTCCCTCCGCTATATTCTTCATTTTTCGTCCTTGCTTAAGCCACGTCGTTTCGTTTCGATTCGATTCCGGGATTCGGGTACGTTGGTGCTTCAATGCAATGTCGTTCTTTTGCTCCTCTAGGATCGAAAATCCGCGTCCGTGGATGGCTTTCTTTGATTGATTCATTGATCTCCGATTGCGCCTTTTTTTTTTTTTTTATTGCGTGGTTTTTTGATCCGTCTCGGTTGGGGTGGTGTTTCGATTTGAATTTTTGTGTTTTTTGATTTTTTTTATTGGAGTCTCGCGAAATTGTGTTTGTTGTTGTTAAATGTGGGTCCTTTTCGTGCTTGATGAGGGGAGCTTGTGGGGAGTGTAATGTTGTTTTTTTTTGTCTTGTTTGTTGATTGATCTGCGGTTTGGGTTTTTGTTCGTTTGGGGAAGTGATTCAGCTGAGTAATTGGGTTGTTTTGTGGATTTCTTCTAGTGTGTGCATTGACTGATGAAATTTCTAGATTCCCTACAGTTTGCAGTTGTGGTTCTTTATTTTACTTATTGTTGTTCCTTGATGCTGGGGCCGTCTCAGTAATGGGGTAATCCAATGTTAGTCTTTTTGTTCGGAGGGAAAAAGGGTTAAGTTTGTTGTTTGTTTGTGTTTTTTTTTGTTCCCTAATTTAATCCCGTTGAGTGGTTTTATTAATTGTGTTATACGTAAAATCTTATAAATGTTGTATTTTTTTTTTTTTTCAGTGTATGCCTTAGGTGGGGAGTATTCTATATCCTGGGTTGCATTTGTTGTAATTAAAGGTAGTTCTTGTTTTCCTTTGGCGCAGAGGCAACCTAGGTGCATATTGCTGGCGTCTTGAATAGGAATATAGAATGCCAGGTATAAAACCCAAGTCCTGTATGGCACTGAGATGCTGATTTTGTCAATATACCTTTGTTTTTCTTGTTGTGTTTTGGAAATGTAGTTTTGAGTTTCATTATTGATGTCTGTGGCTTTAGGAGAAGAGGTATTAGCTCAAGAAGATGAGAGGGGTAGAGGTATGGAGCCCGAAACCTCTGAGGATGAGTGGCGGAAGTCTCGAGCTAGATCTCTTAGGAGAAAAGCAATGACTGCTTCAACCAGACTCACTTATAGTCTCAGGAAGCGTAATACACGTGTAGCTGATTGTGAATTTGATTCAATTTTCATAGAAGATGTCCGTGATGCTAACGAGGAAAAAGCTGTGAATTCATTTCGTCAGGTGCTACTTACCAGAGATCTACTTCCAGATTCCCATGATGATTATCATACAATGCTGAGGTAAATGAATGTGACTAACAAGTTTCTTTAATGTTGAGTGTTCTGTTTCTCTTTTAATTTCTCAGTTTTATCGATTTATAGGTGTCAAATGAATTGAATATTTTGCTCTATGTTGTTCATATCCTGTTGAATGTTGATTCATCTATCATAGGTGCAGTTTCTATCTTACCTTACTTTGAGGAACAGTAATTTGTGCAAAGTTGCACTGGAAGCACGTTGTCTGGAGTTACATTTTGTAGCTTCTTCCTCAATAATTTACTTGATTTTGCTTTCAATTTGAAGTATTCTTCATCTTTTAAAGAGAGATCCAGATGTTCGATTATTATTAATGTTCAGAGTCTCAGTAAATCCACTATTATAGTTAGTAGATTGTTTATCCACTTTGCCATTCTTTAATGTTTGAAACCTTTTCTTCCAGCAACTTCTGGTGAAAACTAAAACATCGTAAGTATTTTTCTAGACAAATTTTTGTTCAAAAGAAATTTGTTTAGACGTTCAGTATATTAAATATTAAAGGTGGCTGCTGACTTTTTCATGCTGCAGGTTTCTGAAGGCCAGAAAGTTCGACATTGATAAAACTGTTCAGATGTGGGAAGATATGCTCCATTGGAGGAAGGAGTATGGAGTAGATTCTATTTTACAGGTAAAGTTTGTTAGTTGGTTGTTTTCCTTTTACTTTTTAAAGAAGCCGTTGTATACTAATTGGTGCACAGAGATTGAAGAATTTTCAACTAACAGCCATCCATAGTATGTAATTCTAGTGAGGAGAAATCCTGCATGTACCCCCTTTTTGAAGATTGTCCTAACATTATTTGTTTGATCAATAATTACTTCAATCTTTCCAATTTACTTTGCTGATTGAACAGTGTTAAATATGTAGGATTTCGTATATAAGGAGTATGAAGAGGTTCAGCGTTATTATCCTCATGGTTACCATGGTGTGGACAAAGATGGCCGACCAGTTTATATTGAAAGACTTGGCAAAGTTGAACCCAGCAAATTGATGAATGTGACAACAGTAGATCAATTTTTAAGATATCATGTTCAGGGATTTGAGAAAATGTTTAAAGAGAAATTCCCAGCATGTTCTATTGCAGCAAAGAGGCATATAGATAAAACAACAACAATACTTGATGTCCATGGCGTGGTAAATTCTATGCTTACAACAACATATCTGAATAGCTAAAATAACATTATGCAGAAGTCAAAACTTTATATTACTTGGTATATTTTGCAGAATTGGGTGAGCTTTAGTAAAGTTGCTCATGATCTCGTTATGCGCATGCAAAAAATTGATGGTGATAACTACCCTGAGGTAATTAAATGTTATAGCAACTTGGATTTAACTTGATGAAAAATTCAGTCTGTGGGCTACATTTTTTTTCTTCTTTGTTTTATTTTTTTTGCTTTGGTGATCTTTAAATTGACAATATCAGCTTAAGAATTCAATTCTGAGATATTTTATGGAAAATTCTGAAAGCTAGAAAGAAAAATAAACAAGCTTATGTTTGTTTGTAATGAATCTATTAAATTTAGTATTAAGTAGGTCTTTGTGCTTGGATGTTTTTGCATGTTCTTTTCCTCCAAAGTTCTGCTTTTTTTTTTTTTTTTTTAATTTATTTTTAATTTTTTT